TAATTTGGCCGGCATTAAAATAATTCCAGCTCACGACCAACATAATTCCGCCCGAAACTATGGTGTAATTTTTAAACAGTTAAACGGTTCCAATCCTTAATCTAAGACAACTTTTGCTGACAGTATTAGGTTATCGAAAGTGATATTAACAACTTTTCCATTAGTCGCCATCCAAATTAGTTTAATTGAGACTTTAATAATCTCTTCATTGTTCTCTATAGTTTCAAACATTGTTTTTAAAGATAAAAGTGCAAAGTATTCTGGTGCGCTTATATATATTTTTATTTATTCAATTTTACTATGATCATATCAAACTAGATGCTGAGCCTCTTTAATTAAAAATTTAATAATAGTGATACGTATCAACTGACGTAACTTAATAGATATTAAGATTCTTCATATTCATATATACTAAATTAATATAAATTACTCAATGATGGGATCTTTTAAATGTTAATAAAGTTTCTTATACTAAATTATAATGATACTAAATATAAAGACATTGTGATAGTGATTCTTTCTTTTTTGAATTAACCTGTAATATGGGAAACAATCACCAAAGTGACTGTAATCTTGGCCAGGCGGCTTTAGTTTTACTATGGATCTTGCTTGTCTTAACACACAACACCTTCATACTCAAATGCACCACCTTTATATTTTATCGAATTTGGTCAGATGGTTGTTGAGATATCTTCACTCAAAGTTAGAGAAAAAAATTCAGCGCAGCTTTATTTTGATGCGGGTTTGATTTTTTATCTAACTTTGAGCAAGGATATCTAGATAACCATCTGATTAAATCCGATAAACTTTTTTTTTATTCAAATTCTGTGAATATTCAGAATTCAAATAAAAACGCTTTATCAAATTTGGGCAGAAGTTTGAAAATTCTTATTTTTACTGAGATCTGCCTCAGACATCTAGTATGTAGCACGTGATAATTATAATTTTTATTCAAGATACGATAGAGATTTACTGTACAAAACGGATTAAGGTTATGTTATAATAGATTTTATATTCAAAAAAATCCGGACTCAAATAATTCGCTTTTATACTAAGACAATATGGTATAAAATTTACATCATATAAAGTCCTTGTATAGAAGATTAATATATAATTTAAATCTCATTTTTAATCGGAGGGACCTCGGAACTCTATTTTTCTAGCAAACCTCCCATATATATTGTAAAATTTTTGACTTCCTAACAATAATTTTCTCACATTTCAGGGATAAAAAATATTGCAGGCACTGCCATCTCCAAATACACAATCCAAATAAGTTTACCAACCTCGATATATAGTATTAATGTGTGTTACTGGAAAAAATTTGTGGTTATTTAAAATCAGTTTAACTAAAATATTTTTGCTGCTTTTAAGGACGTACAGTATTCAATTTTCATATGCTTAAAACCATTTCAAAATCTAAATACGTAGCTTGATCAATCCCTGATGATGTATTTACATTAATAATATATTGGCACATGATCACGGTATGAAAAAAAGAATAATTTTAAAATTGTATTAAATTATTTTAATATTAAAGTACGTGAAAAAAACTAGTTATCAAAAACGTTCTTTGTCAAAAAAAAAAACCATTAAATTTACCATCGATTGATTTTTTCTAAAAAATGTAGCGCGAAATTTTATAAAAAATAATATTCAAAAAAAAAAAAATTCAAGTAAGTGATTTTTTTGACTTTTTTAAGTAAAATAGTCAAAAAAAAAAACTATTAAATTGTCTGACTCTTGTGACTATTTGAATTTGATTTTTTTAAAAACTTTACCAATAAAATTAAAATATTTCATAACCCTATTATCCTGCAAATCAATTTGTATCTTTTTCTCAACAGACAACATATTCAGGTGAGAATTTATAATAAAAAATAGTATAAACGATTGATACTTAAATTTTCTCAAAAATGAATTAGAATCAAATAGTTCTTAACGGACATATTTGTCAACCGTTTTGACACTGTCTTCTCAAGGTGAGAATGATAAAATGGTAATAATCCATTAAGTAATCGTGTAATTTAATCACATATGATATAATAATTTACGTATAAAAGATGTTTACGATTTTCAAATTGATAGTTAAAAAAATTTTTTTGCAAACCAAAATGGAATGTTAGCATGTTTTTAAATGAGAACCATGAAAATTATCATTATGTAAGTATTATATATATGTAGCTTTGTAAAATTTATTTAGTTAAACAAATCTCAAACAAATTCAATAAATATGAGTCCTATTTATATGTATCAAGTTGAAATCAATGAAAAGAATGATCCTGATACTTTGTCCTCTATATCAAAAGGAAATGAACTTGAATTTATTTCTTTTGGAATTTTTAAAACTATGAAGTTTGATTGTGCAAGAGTAAGGTAAGATAATATTCTTATTAAGTAGTTGTTTAGTTATTATGTATCTGAAGTTACGCTGTTACTAGGATTATATAATAAGCAGAGAACTGGAAGCGTATCATGGCCTCAGATAGTTATTTTGACTGGAATAACCAGATCTGTGAATGTCCTTCTCTGATTTATATATAATCTGAAAAACTACTGTGTATTTCATTTACATGACGCTATTGATTGATTTCTGGGGCTGTGGTGAATAGGATGCATGGATAAATGCTTTGATTTCAGTTACTCAGAATATTTATATCCTTGATGATTATGATAATATCTACTTACCTTTTTCTTTTTTTTTAATATAGATTGTCAGGTCCTTATGGTGATGGGGGAATAGATATCTTTGGAAACTTTAAAAGATATTTGATTTTAGTTCAATGTAAGAATTATACAGATGCAAAAGTTAGTGTTGACAATATTAGAAAATTCGAAGGAGTGATATCAAGGTATCCCAATCGTACAATAGGAATTTATATAACATTTGATACAGATAGGTATAGCAGAAATGCAACTATTAGAGCAGAAATATCAAAATTTAATATCTTATTAACAAATGTTTCTAGCATGAAACCAGACATTATTAATTATGTCTTTAAAAAATTAAATAATGCTTTTGATGATACTGAAGAATGTATAATTGATGAAATAATTTGTAAAATCAAAAAAAATTTGATATGTTAAATGAGAAAGTTGATATGATAAATGAAACACAAAAAACATTAACTAGAAAAATGGAAATATATCAATTCAGAGTGATGACCAATAACAATAACAAAATTTTAACTTTATTAATTGTAATAATTATTTATATTACTATTAATAAATTTAATCAAATAAAACAAATTTATTATTTTTTTTGTGGATTAAAAAGTCAAATATAATTCTTATATATTTGTTATGTGAATAAAATAAAACAAATTTATTATTTCTTTTGTGGATTAGAAAAATAAGTTGTCAAATATAATTCTTACATATTTCTGTATTATGTAAATAAAATAAACCAAAATTAATGAAATTCTAGACAAAAACAACAATTCAAAAAATACAATTCCAGTATTCTTTTTCTTTTCTAAGTTTCAAAATCATTTTCTGCATAAATAATATATGTGTAAAAAGAAGTGTTCAAATTCAAAAATGTTGATAAAATATAAATAAACAAAAAATAATCCAGAATAACTGTATGGACAAAAATTTTTGATGGGAATGCTGTGATTATTAAAATTAAGTGATATGATAGAATATATAAATAAATCAATATGCAAAATATCGAAATCATTAAAAAAATATGTAATGATTTATTAATGATTTATAAGCATAATGGGTTTTGTGTGAATGGTTTCATAAGCAATTTATGGTTAAGAAAGCAATTGGCCAATTAAATACACGTAATTATTATATTTGTTATACGGTTTTATAAACGGTTTCATAAACAATTCATAAGCAATTCATAAGAAATTGTAGATAAGAAAAGTGATTGACCAATCAAATACAATTGTACATTCAACTTTACCGGTGATTACGCATTATCACATAAATGATTGGATCAAATTTTATGAATTATTATTACTGAAATCAAAAAAATCCTCCTATACGCTCTGAGAAATAGAATATATTTCAAATTCTGTCCAAATTAAACCTTAATTCTGCTAAAATTTATACTCTAAATTTATGTTTGAATTTTGCTTTATATACTCTAATTTGCCAAAATTATATTCTAATTTTACCTAAATTTATACTCTAATTTTGCTAAATTTATATTCTAATTCTGCCCAAATTTATATTCTAATTTTACCCAAATTTATACTCTAATTTGCCAAATTTATATTTTAATTTTGCCCAAATTTATTTTTGAATTCTGCCCAAATTAAACTATAATTTTGCCCAAATTTATATTTGAATTTCGCCTAAATTAAACCGAATATTGCCTCTAATTTTACATTCGAATTCTTTCCAAATTGAACCCTAATTCAGCTAAAATTTATAATTCTAACAGAATTAGAGATAAAGTTTGGCAGAATTAGAGTTTAATTTAAGCAGAATTTGAATATAAAATTAGAGGTGAAATTCGAATATAAATTTATAGTTTAATTTGGGCAGAATTCAAATATAAATTTGGGCAGAATTAAAATATAAATTTGGCAGAATTAGAGTATTAATTTGGGTAGAATTCAAATATAGATTCGGGCAGAATTAATAAATTTTGGTAAATATAATGTTAGTAGAATTAATTTGTAACTCTGGTAAACATAAATTTGGTAGAATCTAACAGATAATTAAATTGTAACTCTGGTACCTTAAGCATAATTTTGGTAGCAGCTTTGGTAAACATAATGTTGGTAGAATTAAATTGTAACTTTG